AATTGATTTCCTTACTACATAGTAAGGAGGATAGATCATCTAAACTGATAGGTTGTAGCCTTGTGTGAATAGATGTTTTAAATGAATTATATGTAGCAGGAAGACCATTGAGTGTATATAAGATGATATCTTATGTATCTATACTACTACCAGCGGCATTGATAGAATCTATTTTAGATTTAATGAGAGAAAGATAATGATTCATTGTCATTTCCTTCACTATTAGATGATGAAGTTCGTTCTTGAGTTGAATAATTCGAGAACAATTTATGGATTGTAGCTATTTGTTGATAGTTAACCAGACCACATGAGTAGTCTCTATGTTGATGACATAGGGAAGAAGAAGAGGAGACATGACCGAATGCAATGTTGTTGTTAAGTTTCGATCAATTATTTTCCATAATGTATACTTAGGGTTCAGTGTGGGAGATTAATCTGAACTTAAGGTGTATTTTTGTAGAGGTAATGCAGTGCCATCAAGAAAACCTTAAAACCCATTTGCTTGAAAGACTTTAATGACTTGTACTCTTCCTGTAGGATGATTATCTGAGGATAAGTGATAATGAACAATATTTTTAATATTACTCATCAGAAACTTAAGAGAGGAGGGGATCTGAGTCTCTGTAAGGTGTCGTAGTTGGCACGAATAGCTGGGGAAGAGGTTGAAGACATGGTCGGGGAAGACATTCTAGGTGTTGTAGCTTAATGCATAGGATAAAAGAGAGAGAGTATGTGTGTGAGCCCTAAGGCAGTAACTATGATACCATCATAAATTTCTGTATAAAAATAAAAAATCTGGAAAAAAAATAACTTTAAACAGAGCAGAGCATTTCCACTTTATCTTGCTCATTGAAGTCATCTTAGCTATAATTTGTATCTACATTAAGTATCTTAATAAAAGGCGAGAAGGAGGATGAGTAAACTTAATATCTGGTCGTTGAAGTAGTATCGCCAGGGATGGTTCTGACGTAATATGGTAGTTTCGTCTACAGGTGGCTAAGATGTTTTCCATTGCTATCATGTGTAGGGTGCAGTGATATGAAGAGCTGCCTATCATCATGAGTGGTCCCATTTGGATTATATTCACTAACATATTCATTCATCATGTTTGTAATACTGTTGACGTTCAAATTATCTTAGCCTTTCAGCTAATCTGCTGGGGCTTGTTGGCATACTCAGAGTCTCCTTACTAACTTCCCAAAGTTAACTTTGGGGTTAAGCTCTCTTGGCACCTCACCTCAAGATGCTCCTATGTGACATTATCCTCCATGAAGTTGTCAAATTCCTCTCAACCAAAAATATACTACTCATGTTGCAAATCAAGAATTAAGATTGAGATTATGATTTTTTATGATATCAAAATATTATTGTTATAATTTTATTATTACTCCTAGCATGTATTCGATATTTCTATTTGTTTCTGTGTGTGCAAATATTTTAGAAAAATCATATACTACTCTAAAAGACTTCAAGAGAAGGTAAATTATAATTTTTTTTTGTAATAGTCTATATATCTCTATTTTTATTTCTTGAGTCTGAGAAAGTGTGATTATAGTTAAGTAACCGTGCACACACACATGGGGAGTGTGATATTTAAAAAAAAATTGATTGTATTATATGATATTTAATCTTACTATATGATTTGACATGTATTTTCCTCCAGAATGCAGTTAATCAAACAATGACTTGAATTTTTGAACTGTTTGTACTGTTCGATATTAAGTCGTACAAACGACTACTATAGTATGAAATTAGGTTTACACCAGATCATACATAATGAACACATTCATTTTTGAAATGTTTGTATAATATAGTATCAAGTTATATAGAAGACTGATAGAGTACGAAATTAGGTTCGTATCAGATCGTACAAAACACACACATTCATGTTTGAACTGCTCATATAAAAGGGAGAAAGAAAAGGGTGGAGTTTGAGAGGGCGAAAATCGTTGGAGGGGTTTCAAAGGAGTGTGGATGGGATTTTACATGGTTGCTCTGACAAGCTTGCACCTTAGTACCATCGAATTCAATGTTCTTCTCGAGAGAAGTTTTGGGAAAAAGAAAATCTATTTGGTGTCAAAGGACCCTGCTAGTCTGCCACACCGGTGAAGGTGAAAGAGATTCTTGGTTCTATGTTATCTCTTGGAGGGAGAAAAATGAGTCAAGGTTCTCTACTTGTGAAAGAAGTTTTGGTCATCTACCGTACAGGATTGGTGGAAAGATTTTGTAAGGGTTTATCCATCTTGCTGTGGGGGCAAAATGAGAGACACTAAAAGGTTTTTGTGCAATACTCGAAGGGTGCCTCCGGGGAGTGGACGTAGATTAGGTCATTAATATTAATACTAGTTTAATGCCAAGCTTGAGCCTCATCTATCGAGTCCGGCACTGCTTCTTTGTCTCTCATGAAGCTTTCTCTGTCTGAACTTGTCGAGCCTCTTGAGCCGCACGGACCATGCATTCCATGCCCGACGGCCTTGAAAGCTCCGTCGTTCTCCGCCGAACCTCACTAGCTAGTCCCACGCCTTCAGCCCGAGCCCGGGCCTCAAGCATATGCCTGCGCTTCAAGCCCACGTCCTACACCTCAAGCTCGCGCCCACGCCTTGCACACATGTGGTCTGACTCCAACCATATCCTGTACGTATCCACACGTGCACCGAGCCCTGCGCCTTCATCTGCGCTTCACTCTTCACAATCCCATGCAATGCACTGCCGCGTCCAACCAGTAACTTGTGTGTCCTTCACCAGTGCCCTGTGCTCCTATGCGACCTCCTCGTGCACTATGCGACCTCGCACTTCCAAGCGCCCCGCACTCCCGGCACTGCTCCTCAAGAACAGGCCGACTCAACCTCAAATATGCAAACCAATCTTTAATCAAGAATAATAATCTTGAATATGTCGTGGTCCGCCTATCACTTGTGGACAACCTGCCTTGCCTTCGGCCAAGCCTTGCACACGCAATCTCCATCGTGTCCTATTTCACTTCTTCGAACCTTCCTCCACGAGGATATCACCTCAACTGGGCTTCAAGAACTACTTTGGCTCTGCTCTTCTTGCATTCGATAGCTCCAGTCCGCCGGCAAGCCAAGGTTGATCGCAATAAACACAAGCCCACATCCACGACTCAATTCCTGCCTCCGATTGGTTCGAGCTTGACGTTCGGCTTCCGTTCGTTCAACCCCGAGAAAGCCTACAACCGTAAGCAAGAACCCCAGGCCTCCAAGAAGCCTATGCTCCGTTCCACGAATATTAGCCTCTTTCTCCACTTGAAATAGCTGTATGGAATGGACCTCCTGCCTCTTCCGCCGTCAGTGCGAGACCTCTCAGCTCGGATCTTTCTTGAGAAGAAATAATTCTACTGATAATAGTGAAACTGAACTCCTGGTTCAGCAAAAGAACAACTCCCATCACAAGAACTCAGTTCTTGGAAGATTACATTGCATTTCCTTTCAAGCACATCTGGCCTATCGCGGCACCAAGCCATTTCCGCGACCGCTCGGCTGCTGCAGACTCCAAGCGGACGACATGCTTGGCTGGCGCTTGCTTAGCAATTGCGCGTCCGAGCTCCCTGAGTGCGTTCGGCCTGAGCTTCGTGACCCCGCTTCCCTTTTGCAGCACCAGTCTGCTATTCCTCCCGATCAACAAACCCACACACACTGCTCCGGACCACCGCACCCACCAGCGCTACCTCGCGCTCACCCTCGGCTGCCGAAGTCACCTCCGGCTCCTTCGACTCGTCCAAACGCCTGTGCAAAAGGCAAAGCCGGCACCGCCCTCTTCAGATCCGAATCAGTTTCTTTAGACAGAAACCTACTCTCCTCCACCTCGAGATCGCCTCTAATACCAGATGTTAAAACTTACTTTAGAGAGGAGGGAGAGAGCGAAGGGAAGAATGAAGTGGCAAAACCAGAAATTCTTTATTGCTTGATCATAACTATTACAACTCATAAAGCCTCTATTTATAGGCACAAAAATAATATAACAAACTACACAACTACCTACAAACATAAAAACAGAGCAATGAATAACATCAACTCGTAAGCCAACTAATAAACTAGTTTACACTCTAGAACTTACTGCAGTTTTGTAATGCTAATTAGTACAACTCAATTACTGCAGTTTTGCGAATTAACGTTGGGAAGGAATGCTTTGGTAATTTTGTCGTTTACGCATCGGATAATTATATGATAAACTGCATTACAAAGTTTATTATTTGTCCATTGGAAAGATTTTTTATTTTTATTTTTTTTTTGATTTTTTTTATCTATGATGAGACATTTAAAAATTGAGGTGGGCGTTACCTACATACAGCACAATTATTGTGTATTTACATATTTAACATCTAAAATTTAATATTTTTTGAAATAACATTGTCGTGTTTCAATCACATAACAAAATATATATTTTACTTTAGAAAAGTTAAAATTAGTAATATTTTTATGTAATTTAAGAATTTGAATTTTATAGAAAAATAAGTATAAAAAATTTGAATTTAGACATATAAATATATAAAAATTATGTGATATGCATTTAATTACTACAAAATCAAACCAGGAGATTAGTTTGCAATCCACCTTCAACTCTAAAATCAACACTCATGACTTTGCACATTTGTCAACACCTAAACTTTTGCTTTAAAAGAACTATGCTAGAGCATAGCATCCACTTTTCTCCAAATAAGAGAAAATAATTAGAGTAAGAATTAAATATAATTTGCATTACTAGTTTAACAAGAAGGGCATACCATCTTAAGGTAATTATCCCCTTCATATAAGACAATAATAATAGAATAAAAAATTGGGAAATTTACATACATACCACTTTATAACATCCTATTTACATATCTAACACCCTAAACTTTAATATTACATGCATATCACCATATATTATTTTAATATCAAATATATCACTTACATTTTTTTCCTACCACTCATATATTTCATTTCTACCACTCATATTTGATATGAAAATGAACTATGGGTGGTATGTATGTAATATAAAAGTTTTAAGTGTTAAATCTATAAATAGAATAATATAAGATGGTATGTATGTAAATCTCGCAAAATTTATGCAATATATTATGCAAAATAGTTATTCATCAACCATATTATATTAACATAACAAACTACACAACCCAAGCCATGGCGGGAAGAAATTGTTTTGCTTTTGTAGTTCTTTTATATTTTTGTTAGTGGAATCGAATTCCCAACTCTAATCCAGCATTCACATCTTTTGGGAACGCTTGGGCCTCGACTGGAGTGGCAAGCTCCGCAGAGGTAGATGGCAAACAAACTTGTAGCACATATGGGTCTCGCTCAATCCATCGCTAATCGTTTGGCGGCACGCAACATCCGAACTGCAAAGGTATAAACGGATATCGTCAATTCTTCTCATTCCACTCTACAATCAATTTTGATTTCGAAACTTTTTAACTTTTGCTCTTCTTCTCCATCGAAGCACTTATTACACGCATTAGGTTTTTTGTTTTAAATCTCTTCTATTCTGCTAGTGGCTCGCAGGATGCTCTCTCATTACCCGAATTCGACCTAATGACTCTTCTTGGAGTTGATATGAAGGATGTCAAGGAAGCTGTGGCGCGCATCAGCGAGGTCGCGTGTCCTCCCTATCAAACTGTGAGAAAAGTCCCTTTGAATGTTTTCTTTCTATTATCCGAAACAGATAGGGTTTACGCTGAGCAGGTTTCTCTGGTTTCAGGCGCTTTCGCTTCTGGAAGAGCGGCTGATGAATGATACATCTGGTGGTCGTCTTCCTACGTCTCTGACGGGTCTTGATGATGCTTTGGGCGGAGGTATCCCATTTGGTGTTCTCACAGAATTGGTTGGTCCCTCAGGGATTGGCAAAAGTCAGGTAAAATTCTTTCTAAGATGAGTTTAGTGCGGTATTCTAGAAGGGATATAAGTTTTTATTTTAAAAATTTCTTCTTCTTTTTTCTTCCAGTATTCAATGTGCAATTTCATTCCTAGGAATGAGAGAATATAGAAAAAAGGCAGTTTCAAACTGAAGTAGTGGATCGAATTTAAAAAAAAGAACTTGGTTTGAAATATAGAATCCAAATTTGTCAAGATATGTATCATTGAACTGGTAAAATGAAGCAGCGAGTTACTTAAAAATCTCATGCCATCAAAACAAAACCGGGAGGCTTTGTTGAAAAATCAGAGTAGGCTTTATTTTAAAAGGGATAGAAATGTTAAATTATGCTGTGTCATTTCCCTAGGGATTGATCCCTATTCATAGAGAAAAATCTATTAAGATTTACAACTCATAACCAGCTATCGACAATTTTATTAGCTAGCAACAACTCATGTCTCATTAGCAACTACTCATTACTTGTTCGCAATTTACATAAATTAACCATCTCATTATTTATAATTTAAGAAATAATACAACTGCCAAATTTTTTATTCTTTATTATGTCCCTACATGGAGCTCTAATGATGGATTCCAATCTTGTTCTTTGAGTGATATAAGTTGAGTTTTCGGAAGAGATTTTATGAGAGCATTCACTAGTTTATCCTTAGATAAAATATGAGCAACTTAAAGTGCATCTTTTTGGACTTGGTCATGAATGAAGTGGAAATCAATGACAACATATTTCATGTGAGAGTTAAAACTAAGTTAGAGCACAAGTTAGCGGCTCCATTGTTGTTACAATAGAAGACTGGGTATTGTGGAATATGAATTCCAAGTTTGGTCAAGATAGAGCATAAACAGTTGATTTCGGTAGCAATAGTTGAGGCAAATCTATACTTTACATTTGTTAATGATTGAGTAATAGTGCATTGCTTTTTGAAACATCATGAGATAGATTAGTGACTCAAATATGTACTAGTAGATGAATAATCCTTTTTATTGCCTACATAGTGGACATTCGAGAAAGCATGTAAATATAATGGAGAATCATGATATAGAAGAACATTATGATCTGACGTACCACATAGAAAACAAAGAAGATACTTGACAAGTGCCTTAATAATCAGTGGTAGGTCAATGCATGATTATAAACAATTTATTGACAACAAAATTTATGTAAAGTTATGCATGTGAATAATGCAATATGTGAATAATGTGATAGGTATTGCTCATTATCACAGATCCTTCTATAGTTGGTTATATCTATGAGAGCAATGCTAGGGAGTATTTGGGTAGGGTGAATAGTGAGTGGCGTGAGGATTTGATTAGAGTTTGTCATTTTAGTTTGAGCTAGAAGGTCCATGATGTATCATCATCAAGAGTTATGAATAACATGCGTGTGCTGGATGTTTACCTCATTGGGGAAGTAGTGGAGATGACCAGGATCATTTAAAGAGTATCACTGAGTAAGAAGGTCACAAGTAATCGAACAAGGGTATCACCTATTATAATAATATTGTTAACATATGTAAGACGATATATATAGTTGATGCCATAGCTGAGGAAAATAGTCATGTGTCATCATCGGAGTTCCTACATCTAATGTTAAATAGGAATCGATGGAGTTGGTGGCACCAAGCAGTTGAGGTTTTTTTGAGGTTATATATAGGTTTATGAAGTTTGCAAAGATGATATGCACAATCAATATCAACAAAACTTGGTGGTTGTGCCATATGAACATCTTCATAGAGATGTTGTTATTGGACAAAATTAGAGACATCTTATTGTTGTCGACACCACGCATGATTGACAAGGATGCTTTGAACAAGGCATTGTATAGTGGTGGGTTTGACAACAGGGTTAAAAGCATCATTGTAGTCAACACATGGCTATTGGTGGAAGCTTTTGGTTATGAGGCAAGCCTTGAATTTGTTAGTAAAATAACTAGTGATGATTAGTTTGAAAAATACATTTGCAGCTAAAAATATTTTGAATATGATCATATAGAATCAACTCCCATTTTCCGTTCCAAACATGGGTATAACGACATTTAAGATGCCTAAAAGCTTGGGTTATAGTCATGGGTTTAAGATTTGGTCTGGAGTGTTGGGCATAGAGTTTTAACTTATGGATAGATTTGCATAAATTATTTTTGGCTTGAGTAGTCATTTTGTGGGTATTGAGTAGTCGGTTATGGTTGGGAGTGACTAGTGCGGTATATTGGAGAGGGGTGATGGGGGTATAACTTGAGGGTAGAGGAAGAGGTTACATGCTGGATGGCATTGTACATGGCAATGTCAACATATTATTCGATGGAATAGTGATGATTTGTGGAGCTCATTTGAAGATAGTGATGGTTTGAGGATGATATTAGCGATGATGACAAGTGTAAAATTGAAACATAAACTCAAGGAAGCCGACATGATGAGGACATAGATTTTTGAAGATGAGCGATCAAGCCATAAATAAACATTCTGAGTGATTGAGTATCAGACATAAGGTTTGGAATGAGAATCAAGTTTATGTGTGGAATATTGTTGAAGCCAATGATAACATAATCATCCAAAGACCTTAAGTTTCAAATAATCGGGAGAGCTACCAGAAAGCTTTTCTTAAGGAGTAGAAAGATTTAGAATGAATGTGGGCATACAGTTGTTGTGATAAAAAAATGGAGAAGGCATGAAATTGGAAAATTAAGTAAAGTACGGGAGAGAAGAAGGAAGCTAGTTTCAACAATGTGATGATGTTTTCTTTCTAAATTACCATTGTGTTCTAGCATTCAGGGCAATGTGATGAGATGAGAGATGCTTTTTGTAGAGAGGTATTAAGAAAGATCAAGGTATTCACCGCCATTATGGCATTATCAAAGTAAATATGATAGTTTTGCATTTAAAATAGCTTTTAACCATGGCTAATTTGCTAATGATGACAAGTACTTCAATTTTTCAATGAAGATGCATCATGTTTGATCTCACGTGGGATATCACAGGAGAAATCCATGCATAAAAATATGAGTTCAAGAGGTTTAGAAGAAGCAAGTGGGGAAGTAGAGAATAATATTTTGTGACTTTTATTACATTGTAAAACATTACAAAGAAAACAAAATGAAAAGAAAAAATCTAAATCTAAATTATAATTAGAGACCATGTGCTTAAAAATGGGAAATATATGGTGATGTATTCCAAGACATCAGTTGGAAAAAGTGGTATTAACACGAAAGAAAACAACAACGGAGAAGACATGTTACTTGATATGGCCACTCAAATATTCATCTTTCATTTGGCCCCTTAAAAGGGTTGCCCTCATGTTTAGCTCCCTTACAATGAAAGAAGTGGTTAAAAATTCAATTGTAACATTATTGGTTGTGCAAAATGTGAAACTGAACTAAGTTTCTTTTCAATATTTGGCTCACAAAGGACTTTAATAAGAGCAATGATAGCATGAGCAGTAAGAAAGGTGGAGCCATTATAGGTAATGACATGCTCCCCCACCCATCGCTAATGAAAACATCACCAAATCCAGTGTAGGTGGAATGTCGAAGGAGATTGTTCAAGTCATTAGTGACATGCATGTGAAGCCCCATTGTCAAGGAGCCATGAAGGAGAGATATTGCTAGTATCAACGTGGGTCTAAGGTTCTCAGGAAGTAGAGGAGCCAAGTGATGAAGCATTTAGTAGATTCACTTTAAAACAAAGCAAAATGGAGATTGCTTTGCATGGTGTCTTTGTATACCACATACTTTACAATAACCAAGCTAAGTGTGGGAAACAGGACGATTGCCTCAAAATTGTTGTTGTTCTTTGTTTAAGTAGTTATTGGAGCCTAGAGTTAAATTGTGGCGCCCAATTTGAGTCTGATTGGTATAAGTGGGCGATGAATGTCACCCTGTTATGAGTAGGAGTTGATGTAGTTGTTGCAGTATATTCTATAATTCCATGATGAAGAGTCGCCTTTGTGAGGGTGATGGTTGGAGCTATGGGGTGGAGTTGTTTATGAGTGAAGATAGAGACTAGATGGTGTCTTTTATAGATTGAGGATGATAGGAAAGTTGCTCGATAGCAATATTGAAGGTTATTGGATAATTAATTTGAGGAAGGCTAAGCGATAAGGCGAAGATAAAGAGAGAGAGAAGGTGATCTTAGTGAGATGAAAGAAAGGAAGGTTAAGGAGGGTAGCTCTGAAATCATTTAGAAGAAATATAATTGAGAAAATATTTTATGTTATTTCCATTGGGATTAATCCCTACTTATTGAGAAATCTATATATATTTAGTGATTTATAATACACGAATAGCTAGCAAAAACTTATGACTAGCTAGCAATAACTCATAACTAATTAGAAATTGCTCATTAAAAATCAACAACAACTCATGACTAACTAGCAATTTATATATAATGACCGTTTAATAATTTACAAAATAAGAAATAAAATAATTGTCAAAATTTCCTAAAATATTTATTATTATTTGTGTTATGGAAAGCCTTGAAGCTTTCCTATTGCACGATTTAGTTATGTTGGGTGATTTGAAAGAGTTGTAATGACCTAAAACACCTATATGCTGTTCCTACATTGAAAATGGCAATTGCTATTCATTTGCCGAACATGTCGGCTCAGATTGTTATAAGTTTCAAACTCAAGTAGGTTTTGTTAGAGTTAGTTGAGATTTATTCATTATGGTTATTTAAGCAAAGAAACATATTGTCTTATAAGTTCACTGCCTTGGTGGCATGCACTACCACTGGATCTTGATTGTATCCTACTATTGTTCGTTAAGTAGAAGTTCAGTACAACAAGTTATTCCACTACGTGGGGTCGGTGATAGGAAATACTTGTAGATCTCAAGTATTTTCAATCAATCTTCGGAAAAACAGCAAGAATAGTGACTGGACTGCTGTCAACAACAGGAAATCACATAAAAACTGCTGTTTACAGCAGTAAGACAACAGATTTTAAGAGGAAAACTGAAAGAAAACTCAAAGCGAAACTTGTATTCCACT